TTAGCTATGAATTTATCACTGTCACTTCACTTGTCTGTGCGAAAGACCTGCATGTCGCAAACAATTCAAATAATAATACGCACTTGTTCAAAAGGTTAAATTTCTAAAAGAGAGTTGCACATAAATGCTCTTTTCAATCTAATGATGCGTTATATGCTAGCTGTAGGTGGCCGTTAATGTGCTTATAGTAGTTACTAACTGGGGAGAGAAACCTAGATATATTTTAATCATGTGTGATACAGCGATCTATGGAACTTAGTAAATTATTTTTATTTAGTTTTTTCTCGAAATATTTTATCGAACTATCTAGAAGTTTGGCGTAAAGTGGTCGCATGTTTGCATATTTGTGCACGAATACTGGGGTTGTGGTTCTAGGTACTTTTTACGCTGCTGTCAGGACTGGAAAAACATATTCTACAACAGTATTGTTTATAATTTTTTATGATATATTTGGTGCCGTTCCTGTGTTTTTATCAGACAAACTCCAAGCGTAATTCGCTGGTTGCCATACTTCGTTCCTGATTTGGGTAAATATGTTTTGTCCACGTTAGTTAAGCCTAAGAATTTTGTTTGTTTATTTGTTTGAATTTCGCACAAAGCTACACGAGGGCTATCTGCGCTAGCCGTCCCTAATTTACCAGTGTAAGACTAGAGGGAAGGCAGTTAGTCATTACCACCCACCGCCAACTCTTGGGCTACTCTTTTACCAACAAATAGTGGGATTGGCCGTCATATTATAACGCCCCCACGGCTGAAAGGGCGAGCATGTTTGGTGGGACAGGGATTCGAACCCGCGACCCGCAGATTGCGAGTTGAGCGCCCTAACCACCTAGTCATGTCCGGCCAAGAATTTTGCTGACGTAGAAGTCTGAAGACGAGTTCCGTGTAAATACAACTCAGGGGAGGGGGGGGGGTCTATGTGTTTTGATGGATTTGGAAAATAGTACAACTGTAGTTTTTGAAACATTTATTTATATTTTATTTCTTTTTTTTGGCACTATTTGACTATTTGGTCTAATATTGGTCGGGAAACTCTTTCAGATTGCCACGTCGTCCGCATTAATAGCAAATCGCTTGCATACATGATGAATACAATAGGGCTAACTACGCCTCCCTGGGGACACCTGTCTAAGGAGTAAAGTATTCCGAGGAGATGCCCTTACATTTACTCTACACTTTTCATTTTCCAAAAAGTTAGACGACCCGTGGTAGTTTCACCTGTGTCATAAGGAACGTAGTCTATTATGCCATAGTGTCGAATGCTTTCTCCGTATCAGGCTCAATTAACCTAACTAAATGATTAGTAGTTTGCTGAAACTATTTGTACTTCTGGTAATTTCGATGTGACTTCCAAAAACGTGGATAGTCATCTGTTTTCTTAAGCTGTTATATTTCGTTGCGTGTTTTGTTTTTTAGTGTATTTATCTGTGTTTTGTTGTGTGGGTGTCTTGTGTTAATGTAAATTCTTCTGAGGTGGTGGCATTTTTTATCATGTTTATTTTATGTGTGTATGTGGCATCCATGTTTTATAGGTAGTAAGTTGCTTGTGTTTTGGGACAGACAGATATGCAGTTTTGGTAAGGCACTCAGTGATTGTTTGGCAGGATTCGCCTAAAATCAACGGTTCCTCGGCGTAATGAGTGATTGAATTTGGTAATAAACTATCGAGATTGGTAGCGTAGTCTAACCTATTTGCTTTTTATAGTTAAATTTTGGTTGATATCCTGGTTTATTATTATTATGATCAAAAACACCAGATCGCTAGCATGATCAAAGCCAACGTTGAAACTTTACACTTTTGCCTAGGATCTGATGAGCATAGGCAGAGATCCAGGATATCACTGGTGTTATTGGAGAAACTAATATCTCTTGGTGCGCTATCGTTCAGTAATACACAGTGGTTATTTTTCTTTGCATTTATTATTTCACATCCAAATGTTTTTAAGACTCCGTATTATTACAAAGTTATTGTTAAGATCGTGTATTTGACTCATTAATGCTGTATCTATTGTTCTTATTGGAAAGCAATAGAGGCCAGCTATTGTAAGACATTTATTATTTGCTAGGTTAACATAAATTATTATATATTCATTAGTTGCTTCGTTATCTGCATAACATATAGAGAGGATATATATACTAAAATTATACCACGATTTGGGTCATCTTTGTTAGATCTGTCAACTCTGATCGTCGATTATCCAGAGGTATTAAATTTGTATAGCATGATTTCCGTAATGACCATTATATCTGTGTAAGTGTGTCTGATTTAAGTCAATGTTCTCGTGCCACATGTAAGCAAGTCCACCTTGGATAGTGACATTTAGTATCGTGAATTTAAATGAAAAGAGATCTCTTGAGTGCTAGTATTATGTATGGCATAAGTGGTGTGAAGTGCTTTTTCGCTACTGTAATGAGCTGTGTTTGATATTCGTTTATGTTTTTGAGTGCCTCAACTAATGGGTTATTACCCAGTTTTGTGTTAGTAGTTGCGGGCGCATTTGTTCCTACGCGAACACGACTCAGTTTGTAATTGAGTTGTTCTATGTTTGATAATCGTGCTCGGCCGTTTTTCTGTGCTTATGTTTGCTTGATGCAAGGTTTTCCATTTACATTCAACTGTCTTTCTCTGTTTTGGCGGATGCAACAGCAGATACTCATTAACTCATATATCCTACCTTATAAGTTATAGTCAACTTCAAAGAAAGCAAGAAAGGCTATATTGAGTAATTTCGAGTTGTATGTTCATTTCCCTACTAATTATGAAAAATTCGTATCTCTTGATTGACGGTTGTTCAGAGGCTCAAGTACTAAATATAAGTTGATAACAAGTATGAAAAAACTACAGATTATTGACAAATATAAAAACCATGACATTTAGGCGTCCCAAAAAGTTCTATTTTTTTCTTCCCTAATGATATATTAGTAACAGTAACTTCCGAATTTGTGTAAATTAGATGGTTCTCTAATAATTACCAAACTATTTAGGTAGGGGTTTATAGTTCTTGTTACTTGGTAATAAACGTCTAAAGGATGGAAGTTGGGTGTCTATGAAGAGTAAAAATTAATTGTGGATTTTAACAACAAATTCATTTTTATTATGATGTTACTTTTAAAATCATAATTTTTTTAGAGGTGACTACCATAACCACAACTGGCTGCAGACAGTGAATGGTAGTAGGAGTTGAGAAGTTGTGGATTAAAGCACACAACACCTAATTGATCTTCCATAATATTTACATTTTGGATTATGTCTGATAGACGGAATATCCCCAATGCTTTTGGGTGCTATTACCGCGGATATTTTCTCTTAAAATTTATACCCTTTGTACTTCATTGACAAATGGCACGATCTTTAATTTTTATGTATATATATATATATAATTATTCACGAAATTCTTACAAGTTTATATTGTTGAAATTTGTTATAAGTAACAGTTTTAGTTTTGAGTTTCACATCTCGGTATTGATTTACGTATATACTATTGCTACATTTTATAGCTTATGATTGCGTCTCTGATCTGAGAGACACACAACTGTAGTTTTATTTATCTTTATTGAAGGCTCTTTATTTTGTTCCTGTTTATACATTCCCTGGTTGTTGTTAAGTGACATAATACTGTAACGTTTTTATTTTCATTTTCATTAAAATATGTCAAAATGGTTCATACAGTTTCGTTTTTAACGGGTTGTATAACATTGAATATTCCAATTTATTAGTTTGATTATTCTTGGAATAAGTTTTCTATTGAAGAAAACACACACACAAATATATACGAGATAAAAAGTAATTTATCGTTATATTTCCAATGATTCTCAAATCAGTTCTCTCTGAATAATTGAATTGCAGAATCACTTTTATGTTTACTAAGCAACAACGCGAAATATATACCAAGAATTGTGTATCTTCCCTAACAAAAATTAGCATTTCACATGATAATTTAGCACACCATCTTAAGGTCAAATGATAAAATTGTTGTAGTTGTGGTTACTTTCAATCGAGTTCTGAACTCAACCTCTTCATAAATTTCTTGGATAGGTCAAATGGAAAAATGTATATCACAGCCTTGTCTTAATAATGTCCGAATATGAATTATGTATAGTTTGGCTATTGAAAAAACAAACAACAAAACACACAAATATGAGTCCTCTTCTGGTAAATCTTTAAGATTACTATAAATAATTGAAATGGGCCTTAATTGCTTAATAACTTTCCTCGTTTGTGATTTTATGTGTAAAAACTAGAAATATCATCCTAAAAGGCTGCTCGGAAAGAAGACATTTATTTGTATGACGAAATTAGAAAAATATGTAGTATTCTATAATCAAATGATATTTTTATAAAGTGTTAGATTGCATTAGCATATATCTATTTACTATACATAAATTGCAAAAGCATGTTACTTTGTGCCATAACCATCTTTTTAACCATTTAAAAATATATCGAAGATTCATGCACCTGAATACTTTAAGTGAAAATGCTTTCTGCTTGAAATACTAATTCCTATCTATATCATGGAGAAACATATTGATGCACTTTAAGGATAGGTTTTTTACCGATTTGAGATGAAATGCCTCGCTATTTAAAAAAACGGGGTACTGAAAGCATGAAGAAGTTAATTCAGTATAGCTTAATTAAAAATGGAAATGATACGATAAAATTAAACACGCCTTTTTTATGAAAGGGTCGTAGCCAAAGTATTGATCATAATTTATTTTATTCTTGTAAGGCTTTGACTATTAATGCAAAATGATGTAGAAAACAAAATGTTTTTCAACCATTATCCAAATTGAATATCAAACATTTCAGTATAAAACAACTCACAGTATTTCTTACGTGTATAATTTCAGCCTTAATTTTTGAAGGTACACACTCTTTACACAATTTTAGTACGCAAAGTTCACGTTTTGGATTTAAAAAACAAGAACTATTAACTACTTTATGTTCATAAAACTCAAAAATATCATCTCACTCAAAGTACGGAAAGAAAATTTTCCTGATGTTTTCTCGAGCCAAATCGATTAGCTATTATAATAAAATTAGTGGCCTGTTTGATTCAAATAATTGCCCTTCCCATTGATGTTAATAAAATAGGCTTTTAAAAGGATTAAATACACTTACTAACTAACTACTATGCATCGTGTTTTTTTGTTGTTTTTTTTCATTTTAGCCAATACATTTCAAACTTAAACGAGTTCGTGATCAAATAAAAACACATTAAAACAAAGTTAAACTAGAAATGTTTATTAAAGAAAACAAACGCCTATCGAGCATTTTTTCTTACGTTTAAACTTTTCTGTACATGTGGACAAGTTAGCTCCCTCTAAGCTAGGGATGACTATATAAGACCTACAAGTTCAAATACAAAGAAACAAGAAAGTTTAGGCGACTGGAAATATGTCAACTTTCATCTTTCTTCGTAAGACATTACCACACTATCGTGTGCTAGTGTCTCATTTTGAGATTTTTTTATTTTATTTATACTTTAGTTAAGAGGTTCACAAACAGTAATTCGTGGAGCTAGTGGTCCGCGGAAAGGTTTCATACTTATGGGAAAGGAAGATTATGTAGATCCCGGAACAAATGCGACACTTGAGACCTTAAAAATGCAGCTATATGAGCAGGAAGAACACTGGAAAAACTAAATGGAATAGGATACAACTCTACGTTATACGACTTTTGAGTTAAAGTATGAAAATACATTATTTATTTGGGTGTTTTCTATACGAAAAAAGAGCCTTTATTGGAGCTTTCTTGCAACGTAACATTAAGTTCAGAGTTTTTAAAATATCCACTATTACAGTTTTATATTCCAAGAACTGGAGAATTTTGTAGACAAAACGGTTCGTTTTCTGATGTTATTTATCACTACTTACCTGTGCGAGATAGGATTTTAATTACCTGCGGCTCTGAAGTTTAAAAACAGAAGCAGAATGAATGCTGAACCTAAACCTGACAAATATTACAGAACTTTGCTCAGGAAAAACAGGTGTACCAATGATCCATCGCATTAAAATAAACTTGTGGTTAACAATAATATTATAGTGAATTCATGAGCTTATTTGGTTTTGTTAAATTATACTGTTATCTTGTGATTCATCAATTCCCCCCTCCCAAAAAAAAACACAGATCCGCGAACAAAAACGCTTGGGAACCACTGCTTTAGATGATAAAACAAATATTAAAACTGCAACTTAACTAGTAGAATTTGGGCCAAGACTCTCATCCCTCATTCGATCGGAGGTCACAGAATTACCGCTTGAGAGGAATGATTGCATGCGTATAAATGGAATAATACTTCCGTATGTACATGTAGAGGTGTACCTAAAAAGGCCCGACAAAAATTAGGTCAGTGATCTATAAAACAAGGCAACGAAGTATGAAATT